GGATCTCACAGAGAAAATACATTTTGCCAGATAAATTCTATCATTTTTAAGAGTCACCCTATTGTTTGTCAGGCTGAAATTTTTTTACTGAGTGGCAAAAAATTAAGTTTCAAGACAAATTATTCAAGCAATACCAAAATTCTGCTGTTTTCTTTGTTACATTGTAAGTTTTTAAGGAAATGAGAAAGGGCAGAAAAATATATTTTCAGAACCACAGACACATATCTTCAAGGTAGAATTCCAAAGGAAAGCAATATTTTTTCTTTTTTTATTGCCACTGAATATCCCAAAAACCAATGAAGGCAGCTAAAAATTTTCCAAGCAAGAGATTTGAGGAAATATTTGAATTTCTCAAGTCTTCAGCAACCTACAAAATTTTAAATGTCCACTGTCACTAGGCAGCTCCTGCCTACTATGTTCTAATCCTAGAAGTCACCTCTTGATATTTTCTTAACTTTCACTACATGAGCATTCCTTCTGCTTCCTACATGCCAACTTGCATTCCTGATTCTCTTCTCACCTTTGTACCACACAAAGATTTATCTTTAAAAAAAATCCTTAAACCACCTTGCAACATCTGTACTGTCACACTGATTTCCTGGGCAATGATCTGATTCTTGTTGCTGAGCTAAAACACCTGGCACTTAACCTTTTTCTTTTTCGCTCTCAAGAACTAGGTTATTACTGCCTCATAAAGCAGTGTCTGAATGGTATTGCTAGCTAATTTATGTCTATTTAGTGTAAAGGGCTGCAGCCACCTTCTAGCCCCTACAGGCATGTTTTTTCTTCCTCTCCCTGTCGAGACCAGATGGCTTTCTGGCCAACCTTCACCCACCCTTCACGAGCCATGCACTCAACTCAGACAATGCAGCCAGCAGCTTTGGAAACACATTACCATCACAGCTGGACAGATGCTAGAAGAGTGCTTGTTACTGCCCCAAACAAAGGGAAAAGTAATTACTTCAATTAAAAGGCATAGATTAAACCTTTTCCAAGGTATAGTCACCTTTTCATCTTTGCATACTGTCATGGTTTTCATTTTATTTTATTTCTCAGCTCTCATCACTTCACTTGGTGACAAACATGTAACTAGGAAGAGAAACATACAGCTAACAATGAATGCTTACAGCCGACTGGGAGGGAATGGTCACCCTCATCTCACTACACCACTTGATCATAGGATAAATCAGGATGAGAAGTCCACTCATGTTCAAAAGAAGAACCCAATTACATGTTTCAGTGGAGTTGGCCCAGAATACTTAGCTTTTTTCAAGATCAAATACCAGTAGTCCAAGTAGTTGTCTTCCTGTTGGTTGTTTGTATGCACCATTCACATTAATTTGATGTTCCTATCAAATTACAATCTGGCCCAGCTCCTGGTTACTGCAGCAAGACACTGTTTCATATCCTACCCACTCCACACATTGGTCATGTGTTAAAAATCCACCAGAAAGGGAGCAAAATATAAAACACCATTAATCAAAAGACACCTGAAAATTAACATACAAGAAGCTTACAAATAAAACCAAAAGCATAAATAATTTTCTCTTACTAGAACCCTGCCTCAAAACTATTACATTCAAATTACTCTATCAAAACAGTTTGTGATCAAGAGCAACACCAAACATGAAAACTATTTTAGATCATTCTCTTCCCTACTTTCATTTACTGAAGTAATTTAAGGAATATCTCGATTTGCATACTTTTTTCTTTTTAGACTCCTCACTTGTAAAAAATAATTACTTCATTTTAAAAGGTGTTTTTTATATATATGTGTATATATATGTGTGTGTGTATATAAATATATATGTACACACATGCAAGAAACAGTCAAAGTAACCTGCAACCATATTATGGCTATCTGTGTATTAATTTGCTCTTAACATCTGAGGAGGGTCACTCCCAACCCCTGTTTGGGAGAAAAATGACCACTGAGAAAACAGGTCTAATGGTTCAATCAATGGCAACTTCTGTCACTGCCTTAGTGACAGGCTGTAGGATACCACACTTTGTGAAGGAAGTGCTATACAGTACTTCAGACTAGATGTGAGACATTGAACACTGATGACTCTTAAAAGATCCACGAGAACTTCATGTATAAGAGGAATTGTGTCTTCCGTGCTCTGCTCTATTTCTTCTTGGTAATTTTACTACAATCCTTTCTGGTAGATTTATTTGATATACATTTTTTTAAGGGACAAGCCTCCTTGAAGTACCTGTGAGCTACTTCCACTGCCAAAATATAAGAGTGCTTTCCAATTTTTCTTTAAAGTGCCAGGTTAGAAAGATTTTTTAGGTTGCAAAGTCAAGCATTCAGAAGTTTGGAAATGCCAGAGCACATGGCATCATATTCCAGTCATGTTGCACTCAAGCATTTTAACGTTTAATCACATTGTCACTTGCTACTTTCTTCTGCTGGATTCTTGCCTCAGTGTTTAAGGAGACACCTGGTTGATATCCTTTAGTATTTTGTATACGCAGTGCCCAGTCTCAACATTTATTTATTCGCACTACCGAAACTGTTCACAGAATGTAAAATTATTTATATTCTCCTAAGCAACTCTGACAGCATCTTCCCATGGTCTCATCTTCCAAATGTCTTGTGACCATGAACTTTGTGCTCTTCTAAGGTGAGGTTCTGTTCTGCGGCTGTTAAAATGACAGCCAGAAGGAAGGAAGGAAGGCCCAAAGTTTCCACTAATATTAGTAATACAACCTGAGGGACACAGAAAGGCTACTTCTCAGTTTCCAGCCCTTCACTCTCTTTCAAAGTGTCCTTGTAAATGACCTCTCAGAAACCCAGCCTATTTCACAGAGGACATGCATAGAATGAAGAGTCTGTTGTTACTGGCCACTTGTGAAAAGTTTGTTGTAAATCTGCATCATTCAGAAATTCTGTGAGGGAAATCGAGGAGAGAAGCCGGCTCTCCAGAGCAGCATTCAGCTGCCTCAGCTGTAATAATACCTTGCTTTCTCTGCTGCAATCACATGCCTCATTTACTATACACCTTCCAGCTTGGCAGCAAATGAGGCAGTGCCTAAACATACTTCAGAGCTTGCCCACCAGTATAATGAATAATCTTCATCAGCCCAGAACTCCAGACTCTGGAGAGAAACAGACAGCCCTTTCCTCCATGTCCTTAACCTGTCTTACTCACCTGTTACCTACCTGCACCCCATCTCCAACTTCTCATTACTCCCATTCTGATTTCCCAGGCATCTGTATGTCCATTGCGCTCCTACTTGCCAGCACCCATCCTCTAACCCTGCTCCCCAAGTTTCTGCACACACTCCTTTTTTTGCTTCTACTCATTCAGCTCATGGAACTTCTTTTCCCTGTTTCCCCATACACTTTTCCTGACACACCTCCATTTGCCCATGACTTCCGTCTCCTTCTTCTCCTTCCCACTGGAAATCAGATGGTGAGAAGAACCGTGCCCCCCTTCCATCAGCCTGTTAGTCAGGCCTGCAACCAGGGTCAAGGACTGAGGGACATAACTCCTCCATGAGTATATGCAGATAGAAACTTTTGAAAGTGAAGCTCTTGATTCTGAGATGTCTCCAATGTGCATGTACAACCTCACTGCTAAGGCAAGCTCAGGGGTGCTTTTCTCAAAACAACAAAAAGGCATCTCCTCCATATTATAGTGACACTTCATTAAATTTAAGGCCTCCAAAACTTCATTCCAGTGAAGCTGATTCCAGTAACACCTCTAAAATATCTCAGGAAACAAATTCTTGATTTCTTCATTTTAAATAAGGTAATTTATAGTAGTACATTTCCCACACATTTTATCTTCAGAAAGATCTGACTTTTTTGCTAATTTTTTAAATAGAAAAAAAGATAAAAAATCAGTCAAAGACTGATGAAAATAATTTAGCCAAAACAATTAAAGTTTAGAGAAGCAATAAAGAAAAGATTTCCTTATAGTAGACAGTGACAAGACCAGTTTACTCTGGGCAGTGCTACTGACTTTGCTTGTAATTAATAAATCTACCAGATAAACATAATTGTTCCAGCTAAACAAACATTCCAGTCAAACCAATGTAAACAAAATCACTCATCCATTAGAAGTTAATCCACATGTTGTCACCCTCTCACCACACTGCCTACAAGTCTCTAAGCATAATTTTTCTCCCAGCTCTGCCAGCTCTAAATTTCAGGTGTGCCATTCTCAGTTTTTGGAAAAATGAACCTGAATTCACCATCCTCTGCATTGCAAAGAGCACAAAACCAAGAACTAATCCAGAAGTCACCTGGCTACCTGAGTCACCTTTTCTTCCCATGACACATCCTTCCTTCTCTTGCCAGAAGTTTCCAGTTTGCTGGAAAGTTTCCAGTTTGTAGTCATGCAGCTACTCAGCTTCCCTTCCATACTGCATCTACCCTGCAGCAGTACCTGGCAGGCACCTTGCAGCTCCCTTCCACACACATGCAAGGCAGGAAGACAAATTGAAACAAGAACCTTAAGAACCACACGGTCACTATTTCTAATTTTTCTAGACTGTTTTAAAACTCATCTGTAGGGATCCAGATACAGTAGAACTAGAAATAAAAAGGAAATGTACATAATTACAATTATGTACATGAGGGGCGAAAATAACCCCAAAACACTGAATTTTTCAAAGCAAAAGTGTTCAGACTAGTGCTTTCCATGTAAAATTCAATTACAGATCTACTGCTAGTTTTGAAAATCTAAAGTGAAAGGATCACTTTCGCTTTGCGGAAACTTCAGGCATTCAAAATAATGTGTTTACTTTTAGAAACTTGGATCTAGGTTTATTAAGAGTGCAGGGTGCCACAGAGAAAAACAAAAACAAAGGTGAGAACACATAATAACTGAGAAAGAGGAAGAAACTCAAGGCAGGAACAAAAAACAAGAAGCAAAAGGACTTCCATAATTTCAGTACATTTCACTAGGCTTAGAGGAGCCACTAGGCATTGTTTGTGGTGATGGTGACAGGGCATCATCAAGCAGAGAAAAGCAGAGGGCTCTTACTGCAGCATATGTGTCTGGCAGGCGTCCTTTTGTTTGTCAGGTACCTCGTAATGAGGGGAAATCTTCCCGAGGCCACTGTCACTCAGCATCCTCTTTCGAACTGCAGGGTTCCACCGATCTGATATTCTAGGGAGAGAAGAGTGAAAAGAAAGGCATTCACCCCTCAGAAATTACCTCGGTGCTCCACTTTAAAGCTTCCGGTTACTGGTTCCCAGCATTATTCAGCCCACAACAAGTTAAATTAACTTATTACACTATGAGTATGAGACTGTTCCAAAGATGAATAAGAACATTTCTGGTCTGCCCAGAGGATGAGAAGAAACAGAGACACTTCACCATCATTCTTAGGCACAAAGGTCCTCACAGCTTTACACAGTGATATCAGAGCCTTGACTATGTAGAGAAGGGGTTTGTAACTTAGTTGATACAGATTTACAATGAGGCAGATACAGTCGCGGAGAGTGAGGAAGTTGAAAGGTGCTGAAGTCCATCAGTCCAGCTGTGTGCTCCAGGATGTGTAATGGAGCAGATGTTATTCCACTGTCCTATCATTACCATGGCTGCATCTGATCCTTTTCCCAGCTCCCCACCTAAAATCTGCCCTTCCACAGCTCCTAGCCCTTCAGAAAAGAGGAATGCCAGATCCCAGCATCACTCACCCAGAGGCCTGCTCCACTACCAGATCAGGCATTCCT